CCCCAAAACCCCAAAACCCCAAAACCCCGGATTGGTTGGGATGGGTTGAAGAAGGTATTTAGTAAGGGAGGTTTGGAAGTGTGATGGATTTAGATGGGTAGTGTATTTTTGGGGTAAAAAAGTGGTTGTGGCGAGAATATGTAACCTGGGATCTTATTTTGGAGATAAGTATGCAGGATTGTGGCTCCTAATTAAATGTTGAAGTTCAGAGTACCAGAGAATATCATGAGTGTTACAGTATTGTTTTAAGAATTTGTCCGTTAAATGAATATATAATTTTAATATATTTACCCAATTTTAAATAAAATTTGAACAGAAAGATAAATTTTCCCAACAAAAATACAAGTTCATCAAAGCACTTAGAGCATCTTGAAAGAAGACACAATTTGTAGTACCTTCAATGACTCTAGAACAGCACTCTATAATTTAAGATTTATTGTGGTAGAATATTGAACTTATTTACCATAAATTAACAACTTATGCAATCATCAAAGCAATAGTATTGAGAGAGAAATTCCACTGTGAAATCCAACATACTCTCTCAACCGACTGGAGACAAAGAGGAGCCAAACCTAGTAGCTTTTGGGGCTTGACTTAAAAGTTGGGAATCATTTGGCTGAGATTTTGAACTTTGTATTGATCCTATATATTTATATACCTGCATACTTGAAGGATTATCTGGAAGAATTGGTTGAATTTCTATATTCAAGACTCCTTTCGGAAGAACCACAACCTTTCCAGAAGCACTCTTTAGAATTTTTCAAGGAGTTGTAGTCAGAATCTGCGACGCTTGAATAACAACATTCTTCCCTCCCATCACAAAAATACTATTACCTTCACAAGTCTCCTTACAACTTTGCTCCGAAATACCCTTCAGACCATGCATATTACACCTAAAATCCCTTCCTTCACTCATTCCCCTATCAAAAAGTTACCAAAACCCCAAGACCTAAACCCTTCAACCACTACCCACCCCTTCCTACCTCCCACTCAGCCTCTCTCTTCCTCTCTCTTCGAACTTCTCATAAAACTTGGCTTCTCTTCTTCTCAAAAGTTTCACTTGAGCTTCCTTTCTTTTATCTGGTCTCCCTCCTTTTTGTGAGCCTTGTGAGAACTTGTACAAGCCACTGTCTCTACTACGGCTAAGCCCGTGCTTGTCTGGGCTAGAGTCGCAGAAGGACTGTAGGGCAGAGTCAGAGGGGAGATTTGGAGGTGAACTGGTTCTAATATACTGTAGGGGGTCTTCCACTTTGTAATGTTTCTTAATTTGCTTGAGATAGCCTTTCAGATGGGTCTCTATCTGCTGTCTAGCCCTTGTAGGGATCTATTAGTTTGTCAAACTTGTATAACTTACCATTTTCTTGAGCATTATCCAGTTGAGCCCTTGAGCCTTTAGGCCTAAAAATAAGAAAAGAATTACAGAGAACCAACTGAGAATGCTCATAATTAGACCATGGTCCGTAGTTGTACTTCCTAGTCCAAGAGAACTGCTTTTTTATCTAAAAAAATTAGAGAAATCTTATGAGAAAGAAGAGCCGGTTAGACCTACATCATATTTATCGCTGTTCATTCTCTGATTTCTAGATAATTAATATCACCTCTTCCAAGATCAATAATCAAGTGGCTAATTGTACAGAAAACTTATTGAAAATGCATAATGAAATTTTTATTCTGTTCGTTTGGCACTAGGACTTTGCTCATAAATATGCAACTTAAGAAAGGCTTATACCATTTAATACCCTTAAGGAATATATAAAGAATGCAGAAGAGGAGTATACAATCAGCTACATCCCAATTGCCCATGAATATCTTATAATTTTGTGCGTATCAGAGTTTAACATACCAATAAATAGACCAAAGTAACAGTTAGCATATCAAAACCCAGAAGTCCTAATAATATCTTCGGGATATTCTACCAAATATATTAATTCAGCAATAAAGAGACACTAGGGTTTGACAGATAGTAGAGTAATCATCAAGGATGGGACACAAAGGATAAGAGGTAAGGCTTTTAAGAAGAAAACGAGCATCTTATTCACCAAGTCAAATCTTGGTGATTACTCTATTTTGAGATTTAATAATCTCTTAGTGATGTCAAGATTTATTCTGTAGATCAAATAAGAATTTCTTAGGTGATTATCAGATCATTTTCGAAATGATCCTTGTATTAAGGAAGGTAATTTCATAAATTATAATATGCCAGATATATGAACCTATTAGAAATACTTTAGTAATCTAGTTGGAGGAACCTTGTGGTGGACCCTTACTTTCCTAATATCAAGCTATTTGATTTCAAAAGTACTTAGAATTCATCAGAAGGATTTTTAGGCAACTACTTTTGTCTGATCTAAACCACAGAGCCAGTACTTGAGATTTTACTAATGGACTTCGACAAAAAAGGCGATAGACAAATCTACTTAAAATCTAGCTTAACCCTTCTCCTTTATAGATTATGTATATTTACCATTGCATAATTAGCTGTAGAACTTTCCCAATATATCACCAAACAATATTAATAAAAATACCAGCTAAGTTTCTTCTTACAAATTCAGTGCCCACAGCTGGGAGGAAGTATCAGCTGCTTTAATAAGTAAGCATCAATCTTTTACTCTTGGTATCAGAGGCTTCATAACGATACATATTTCTAAAATAATCACTAAATTTAGCAAATCAGCTCTAATTATTCTCGAATTACTGAATCAGCATATATTCTATCATGGTTCTGACAAATGTTCTAGGATGCATTACTCCCTAACAAAGCTTCAGAAGTTGTGCTTTTCAGTGATAATTTTAGGAATCAGAATTTGCACCTTAGCAAAGCAAGAGGGAGTTTGGGTGGGATGTTCAAGAAATAACGAAAATGGGCATCACTTTACTATTTTAAGCATTTCTATCGTTAATGAAAAGGTAAATTTACACGGGTAAAGGTAAAAAGAGGAAGAAATAGTAATAAATCATTCTAATCAACCCATTTAAGTAAATTCTTATCACAGAATACTTCCTGGCTTGTTCTCACAATCTTTCTATTCTCTCAGAAGCTCCATTTCTTATTTTAGGAGCAAAAGAATTTAGTGTAAGGATAGCTCAACTGAAATCAACATAATTATTTACCAGAAAAACTTGAGATCATGAGAGACTAAAACCTTGTAATACACTAAGTAAAGCAATCCCATTTAGTTAGATGCTCATAGATTAACATAGCCCAACTTATATACCCAATTTGCCTGTGAATTATCGAACCAGAAACCTATGCTGAACTAGTCAGTCTCCTCCTTCACAACCTAATGGGATGCCTTTATTCAGCATCTGATGTATTTTTAATCTATAGTAACCTCAAGGCTTTATAATAAACTTTGATTCTTAATTAAGTTAAGCTATTTTTACTCCAGATTCTCTTACAAGAGGGAAAGCAACTGGGTTTTTGAGAGAATAGGAAGGGTATTGAGTGATTCAGATAAAATTATGAGATCAAAATTGATTTGATAAGACGATTCATAGAGTGATAGCTCCTTGGGTTTAGTTAGTAATTACATCCACTCCTAATGCATATACCAATTTGACTTCTGCTGAAGCACCAGCATCTTCGATATTTTGAGTATGAATTCTCTATTTTCGAAGTTTTTACCTCTATTTTATTCCGCTAAATCTACTAGGGCTCGATTATTGAAAATTTTAGCGTTGAGTAAAGTACTTTTGGTGATATCAAACACTTGGGATTTAGCTTAAAGAGTCCAAGGAAAGGCTTCTAACTGGACTTACTAGTCCTTACCCATTTCACAAAATTGTCTGAACAAGGTCTGAACTAATTTTTGAAAATCACTTATTAAAACTAATGCTATCAAATACCAAATTTCTCTTATCCTAAAGGGTTTGAAATTTAGTGAAATTATCAGCCAAGAGACTCTAGCTTTTCAGGTCATCCAATTAACTAAGAAATCCTCCATTTAGCATGTATGAACACTATGATACATATGTTATTAATTACGGCACTTGAAGTAATTCTAAATGAGCTGAACATAAAAATGGGGGAAGGGATATTATATTTAGCCTTTGCACTCCTCTTCTTGGCTTTTTAATGTATCTAATGTCACTTGGTTAATTAATGTCTCTTTAAGTGCTGACTTTGGCAAAGTTTACTCCACTCAGATGCTATTTATTGAGTATTATGGAACAACTGATATTTTTACATCCCCTCTATCTCTGATTTTAGCATGGCATAATCTAGAAGACTAGCTTATACTCTGTATAAACTATTTTGCCTAGCTGGTATTTCCTCTTTTGAAGATTTTAGTAGTTTCATTTCTGACATTATATGAAAGCTCAAATTATGAACCTTAAGAAAATGACTAAGAAGTGATTATAAAAGTAAATACGTGTAACCTTAAAAGAAGTGGATTCTTATGATTCTCGTATTCACAAAAGTAAGTTTCGTAATCAAAACAGTCTGGCCTTTCTAAAAATTTACAATTTTACTAGGAGTATTAAAAATGCTGTCTGAGAGGATGTCTTATAGAAACTGTATCTACAAAAATATCCATCCTCTTCAGTACTCAAATAGTTGTTCTGGGGATTACTGATGACGATCAAAATGAGGAGATTTGAAAGAATTAAAACTTATTGTTCTCAAAATTAGGAGCAAAATGAGTTTATACTTGCTCAGATGTTAATTACTCTAACATATTGAGCCAATGAGCTAAAATTCTGCAAATTATTGTTATCCTAACAATTTTATTGCTCTTTTAAAGACTTCTTTATTTCTTAATGCAGAGCTAGAGAAAAGGAGCCATATTAATTTTATACTCATGATCGATAATCGTTGATGGACGGAAATTTCTAGTAAATTCGTCAACAAGATGATTTTCGATAGTATAGAGTTAATAAACCTTCCCTAAAATTGAAACAAAGCAGCTGTCGCTTACACTATTGGAAACAGCTCCTAAAAGTCTTGGATTAATCAATCAAGACAACTAGACATATAGGAGATTACAGAGAAGAGAAGGCTTAAGATTTGTATTTCCTCATTGGGATGTTTGAAACTAGCTAAAATTTCCCATACCATAAGTTTAAAAATGACCAAAATCTTGAGAAACTTTTTCCCTTCAAGGATGATATACTTTGCATATAGAAGTGATGAAAATTAAAATATGTTCAAATTATATTAAAAATAATAATTTTTGAGTTTTACAATAATCCTAAAACTTTTAACTTTGAAACATTAAAATGTTGATGAAATCGAACCCACAACTAACTCTATGGCTTCCTTCGATCACCAAAACCTTATTAGATCCCCATAAAATTCACTTATGATGCATAAATAACCCAACTTTAATATTTTCCTCTCTGTAGAGACTCATAAAAACCACTTGTTTTAGCTCACAAATTCATTTTTTCAACTTACCTATCAATATTAAATATTATATTCAACTAATTTGTTCACCATTGGGGTTTTGGGGTTTTGGGGTTTTGGGGTTTTGGGG